ATCCCCAATTATTTTAATATGGTGCACAGTGAGTACTCACACCCATTCTCGCATGTCTAGGTGACTCAGGCTTATTGTGGCAATGTTAAATGTAGGACACATAAAACGTATATATACGTTTGGGGCACTAGCGGTAAAAACGTATATATACGTTTGGACCGTTTACGGGTTAATACTGAATCTAAGTTCAGCATTATAAAATCCTCGACTGTGACAGTGCACAGATACCAGTACAAATTAGGTCAGAAGCTACAGCTCAGGACCTCAGTTTCTCAGAGTGTCTATGCGACACAACCTCAGTACAATGTCGAAAATCACTAAGTCTAGGCTATGTTCTGTGAACAGTTACACAGAACCAACAACAAGAAAGCGACAGAGACTACCTTCCAACAAGGGCCCACGAGGGAGAGTAGTAGAGGGACCTCTTGCTAGAAGCACGTCCAACCGACAATAATAAGTGCAGGCCAGCTAGACTCTCTCCCGGCGAGGTGTGATAACCCCCCCCGATCACGTGACTATCCGTGGGCTGCTGCTGCCGGCAGCCGTAACGAGCGGAGAGAAAACACAGTAGTTAGACAATGTTATCAGCTACTTAACACTCGAACTATGAGCACTTAATAATATATAAATGTTACATTCTACCTAATAATATAACTAAGTCAAATAATAATATAAAGCAATACATTTACGATTTAGCTATTATTGAAAATATAAGCAATATAAAAAATATGAACAGGTAATATACATTATATACATTGTGACCCATTCAGGGGTCGCAATAATCTCGTTTGATAGAATGGAACATATACTGTGGTCCCCCGCTTTTCGTAGTTCCTGGTAATCGTAAAATCATAGGGGTATTTTCGTATAAACATGGACTCGCTTTTCATAGGTTGACTCGCGAGTCGTAGTTCGTCCGGGACGAGTACGCACGGCGTGGGCCAGGGCGGCAGCCAGTCTGGCATTGTTTACCAGTGAGCGAAGGTCCCCTCGCATGCTCCAGCGAAATTTTTCATAATATTCCATTTATTTTAGTGCTTGCAAGTACTAAATAACCTACCATGGCTCCAAAGAAAGCTCCTAGTGCCAAGCCTGTGGTAAAGAAGGTGAGAAATACGATTGAATTTAAGAAAACCATCATTGAACAATATGAAAGTGGTACAAGTGTGGCCGAACTGTCCAGGATGTATAAGAAACCCTGCACAACCTTATGTTCCATAGTGGCCAAGAAAAATTAAATAAAGGATGCTGTTGTTGCAAAGGGAGTAACTATTGTGACAAAAATGAGATCACCAGTACTGGAAAAGGTTGAGAAGTTATTATTGGTGTGGATAAATGAAACAATTAGCAGGAGATACTCTTATGACTTCGTTTATTTGTGAAGAGCAACACATCGCAGCTCAGAATCTTGCTGCAGAGGAGGAGGAAGAGAGATGGAAGAAGGTGCCTTCTTCAGAAATTAAAGAGATTTTTACTATGTGGGGTAAGATGGAAAGCTTTATTTGAGAAACATCACCCTAACAAGGTTGTTGCAAGCCAGGTTGGCAACATGTACAGTGACAAAGTCTTGGGCCATTGTAGGGAAGTGTTAAAGAGATGCCAGAAACAGAGCTCTCTCCACAGTTATTTTGTGAGACAGGACTCCAGTGACTCTCAAGGTGGTCCTAGTGGCATTAAGAAACAGAAAAGAGAAGCAACCCCAGAAAAGCAAATGGTACCTGAGGTGTTGATGGAAGGGGATTCACCTTCCAAACTATAAACAATCCACTCTCCTCCTCCAGTCTCCCATACACTAAGAAGAATCTCCAATAAAGGTAAGTGTTATGCTGTTAATGTTTCATTCATCATTTCCCATTATATTGTTTATGTATGACATGTATATTTCATGTTAAAAATTTTTTTGTTTTAATACTTCTGGGTGTCAGGAACGGATTAATTGTATTTACATTATTTCTTACGGGGAAAATTGATTCGTAAATCATAAATTTATTTTATAGTAACGGCTCCAGGAACGGATTAATTACGAACAACGAGGGACCACTGTATTACAGAAACAGTGATTGATTATATTGGTTGCAAGACTGACAGTAGGTTGAAATTGAGCTCAAAGTAGTGGAAATGTTAAATTTTTGCCGATGTTCTAGAGTGCACAAATGATTTCACTTGCCCAATACATGTCCAACTGGCCAGTCTAATATGCACTGACATTATTTATACAATTATTACAACAATGCAGTAGCCTGCATAATAGTAAATTTATTATTTTTGCATGAATAAAAATTCAAAATGGTAAGTAAGTGTAATGTAAGAGGGGCCTGGAGACATAACTAAGGAACGGAGGAAATGTTTTTCAGTGCCAGGAATGTCTACATTGTTTATTGTGGACCTCATTTTTAAACTGGCAGTTTTTGTATTTTGTGTGAAATTGGCAAGATTACTGATTTTTGATCACTTTATTGGGTAGTTGAAATTGGTAAATGGTTGGTTTCTTGTACTTAATCAATAGACTAGAAGGCACACTAGTAAAGTTTGGTTGACTGGAACACTGGAATTGGCCAAAAATAGAGCACAAAGTGGGCAAAATCACTAATGAGTAAATATCGCTGAGACCGCTAACTTTGCAAGAGCATAATTCCTAAAGTTTTCCATCAAATTTCATATTCTTTGTTTCATTACCTTCAGAAAAAGATTGTCATTTCATGATTTTTTTTTTGGCTCCTAGTTTTTTTTTCTTTTTTTTTGTTTACCCTGAGAGCAAGTTTGAGATCAGGGATCTCAACTCTGAAAGAGTTAAACCATATACATGGTCACAGTTTTGTTTTTCAGATCATGCATTTCATGGGGCAGGATTTTTTTTATATAGTGCATGCTGACTGTATAGACCCACTCACATATCTAGGCCAAAATTTACCACTTACAGCTTGTCTGAGTGAGCTGAGCTCATGCCATAATACTACGGCATGGACAGAGACGTTCAAACCCATAGTACTACAGTATGGACAATGATAGGGTTAAGCCAATTCCATTGCTCCAGTCAACCACATTTGTAGCTGTTTCACTAGTATGTTTTCCAGTCTATCAATTACACACAAGACATTGCCCATTTGACTATAAAGTGCACAGTAGTCGGTAATGTGGAAAATTTTACACAAGATTAAAAATATATCAATTTAAAAATAGTCCAAAATAAACACCGTAGACATTGCAGGCACTGAAACAATTCCTCTGTTAATTAATCACATCCCCAGACCTCTCTCATTTTACCTTACCTACCATTTTGAATTCATAATTACACAAATATTGATGTACCCTATTTCTTGGATAATAAAATATAACCAGGAGTGATTGGTCTGGTTTACAGCACCTCAGTAATTGAATTAGATCTAGTAAAAGTTCATAAAATCGACTGGGATGGGGGAATGGGCAGGTTTTTTTTTTTTTTTTTTTTTTTTTTTTTTTTTTTTTTTTTTTTTTACACAGGGTTTGACAAGGTTAAGGATCCCTAGCTTTATTGACAGCTATTTACAGGTTAAGGATTCCTGACTTTATTGGCAAGCTAAGAGCTGTTACCTACATCAGCTCATTTGAAAGCATTTTTATTGTTATGAGACATACAAGTAGGGAACAGGATGAAGTTGGAGCCATCTGTGGGCCAGCATTTTCATTTGATCAACTGACTTTATCTCGTTGACATCATTATGCTGTAGAATGTGTTCCATACTCGAGTTGTAGGGAAGCCTTACCTGTCTTCAGGAAAATTGGCAAAAAGCAAATACAGTGGTACCTTGAGTTTCAAACAGCTCCCAGCTCGAACAGTTATGTAAGTGTATTTTGGGGGTCTGAAACGGACTAATCTAATTTACATTATTCCTTATGGGAACAAATTCATTCGGTATCAGCACTCGAACAGCCTTCTGGAACAAATTAAGTTCGTAACTCAAGGTACCACTGTATTTCCACTAATTCGAGGCCAATTTCAAGTTACTTCTGATCCTGGAACCAACCAAAATCATCTTTATTTCATAAGTATGGCTCTCATTCTATCAAATGATACCAAGGAACAACTAACAAAACTTTAAAAACTATTCTAGAAAACCTTATTTGCTATTCTAACTCTTAAACTGTATAACGTAGATCTACGTTTGCACCGCTTGCACTCCGAATGTAGAGCTACTTTTTTTTTTTTTTTTTGCATTTGAAAGCATGTAAAATAAAACGTAGATCTACGTTCGGAGTGCTAGCAATGCAAACGTAGATCTATGTTTGGACAGTTGAAGGGCTAAACCAAACACAAGGTCAGAGTTTTGCTTATCCCATCTTGCTCAATGTAAGGCTAAATTTTTTTTTTTTTCCTCACTGTGTACACCTACCACATAGATCCATTCTCTCATATCTAGGCCAGAATTTACCACTCAAAGCTTACCTGAGTGAGGTGAGCTCATGATGTAGGTCTGTGTGACGGACCCTGACGTCAGTAATGCAGATCTGTGACTGACAGTGAAAGGATTAAAATGAGTTGGACATATATATGAGTGATTAGTTGGGCCAGTAGGCCTTCTGTTCTTAGGTTAGAGATAGTTGATGTGGCACTGTAAAATACCTGTACAAGCATGTGACTGGCAGTATCAGCTATAACTAACATTATTGTTATGAAATAGTGTATGTGTGTGTGGGGGGGGGGGGGGACGGGGAGGATTTTAGGACCATCAAATCTTGTGCTGTATTGAGCCAGATTCTTTCTCGTGGCTGAGTCAGCAGCCAGCTTTTCCCAGGCAGTAGGAATCCCTAAATAGAAGAGTTTATGGTCGAGCCATCTTTTTTGATATGGCACTATCGTGCTGTTACTTTCTCATGAAACATGATCTTGAATAACCTTTGAATCTTGATACATATTAAAAGTTTGGTTTATGGTAATGTGGTGTGTGAGAGAATTATCTAATAGAAATAAACTACTACACAGTCAGGTTTGTCTTGAATTTAATCTTTTTTTTTTTTAATAGGCGCTGAAGGCTTCACAACTGAGGAGGACCAGGAGATGCTATCTCGTATTGAAAAGCAGCTAAAGAGGAGATTTGCAATTGGATCCCAAGTATCAGAACATGCAATTGTCCAAGATTTCTTGAAGCAGGTAAAGTATATTTTATAAGTACAAATTTCTTGTTGTGATATACAGTGGACCCCCTCATAGCGATATTAATCCGTGCAAGAGAGCTCATTGTTATGCGAAATTATCATTATGCGAATGAATTTTCCCCATAAGAAATAATGGAAATCAAATTAATCCGTGCAAGACACCCCAAAGTATGAAAAAAAATTTTTTTTACCACATGAAATATTAATTTTAATACACACAACCTGAAAAAGGCATGCACAATTACATGACACTTACTTTTATTTGAAGATCTGGTGATGATTGGATGGAGGGAGGAGGAGAGAGTGTTAGTGTTTAAAAGGGGGAAATCCCCTTCCATTAAGACTTGAGGGGGTAAAGTTCTTTTTTTGGGGTTTCTTCCCTTCTTCTTTTAATGCCACAAGGGAACCAGCTTCAGAGTCACTGGAGTTCTGTCGCACAACATATTGTCCATAGTGGCCTGTACCTCTCGTTCCTTATGACTTCCCTAAAGTGTTTCACAACATTGTCAGTGAAATTTGTCACAGCACGGCTTGCAATAGCTGTTGAGGTGGATTTTCATCCATGAAGGTTTGCCTTCAAGCCACTTTGCACAGATTTCCTTAATCTTTGTAGTAGGCAATTTCTTCAATTTCTCTCTCCCCTCCTTCGAACCAGTTTCTCGGTCTTGGCCTCTTGCTGTTGAAGTTGATCTATCAGCTCATCAGTGGTTAGTTCTTCATTGTCCTCCTCCACCAACTCTTCCACATCATCCCCACTAACCTCCAACCCCAAAGGACTTTCCCAATGCCATAATGGATTCCTCAACTGGCATAGGATTCTCAGGGTTAGCCTAACCCTTCAAAATCTCTTTGGTCTACACATTCTGGCCACAGTTTCTTCCAAGCAGAGTTCAAGGCCCTCTTGTCACTCCCTCCCAAGCCTTACCTATAAGGTTTATACATTTGGGGATATTAAAGTGATCTCTCCAAAGTCCTCTTAGAGTCAGTTGAGTTTCTGAAGTCACTACAAAGAAACCTTTCAAACAGAGCTTTTGTGTCAGTTTTTTGAAGTTTGCAAAAACCCTGCTGGTCCATGGCTGCAGGAGAGGAGTGGTATTAGGAGGCAAAAACTTAACCTTAATGAATTTCATGTCCCCTTTAAAGTCGCTCTGCCACGTCTGTAGGATGACCAGGGCATTGTCTAAAAACCAGGAGGCCCTTAAGTTCTAATTTTTTTTCAGCTTGGTAATCTTTCACTTGGGGCAAATGCATGTGTAACCAGTCATAGAAAAAGTCCCTAGTGACCCATGCCTTACTGTTTGCCCTCCCCCCAGCACACACAAATTTTCCTTGAGGACATTCTTTTGCCTGAATGGCCCTGGGAGTTTCAGAGTGATACACTAATAAAGGCTTCACTTTGCAATCACCAGTAGCATTGAACACATCAACAGAGTAAGCCTGTCTTTCTTAGGCTTATGTCCTGGGAGTGCCTTTTTCCTCCAGAGTAATGTAGGTCCTGCTTGGCATTTTCTTCCAAAACAGGCCTGTTTCATCACAATTAAACACTTGTTCGGGTTTCAGTCCTTCAGTTTCTATGTACTCCATGAATTCCTGCACATATTTTTCAGCTGTTTTTGTGGTCCGAACTGGCAGCCTCACCATGCCTTATCACACTATGTATGCCACTAACGCCTCTTAAACCTCTAAAACCAACCTTTGCTGGCCTTAAATTCACTCACATCATCACTAGTTGCAGGCATTTTTTTAATTAAATCCTGATGCAACTTCCTAGCCTTTTTCACTTATGATCACTTGAGAGATGCTATCTCCTGCTATCTGTTTCTCTTTTAAATCCACACCAATAAAGAGTCTCTCAACTTCTTCCTTCACTTCGATCTCTGTTTCGAAAACACATTTAAACTTTGGCAAAAAACAGCTTCCTTGATTGCCTTTTTGTTGCCCACAATAGTAATAATGGTTGATTGGGGTTTACTATACAACCTGGCCAGCTCGGAGACACGCACTCCACTTTCATACTTATCAATGATCTCTTTCTTCATCTCTATAGTAATTCTCACCCTTATTGCTGTAGGGTTGGCACTAGAAGCTTTCATGGGGCCCATGGTCACTTATTTTGCAGATAAAATCACCAGAAACACTGTAATAATACGAAATGTTCCGATTGTATGCTTGGATGTTACCGCGGAGGCTGGCTGGTAAACAATGCCACCGGTGGAACATGTGGCGATAAAATGTAGCGGTATGCGGATTTAATGTTATGTGATGCCAACGGTATGCGGGGGTCCACTGTATAGGTAATGTAGTTTACACGTAATGAAATATTTAGGCATAAATAAAAACCCTTAGTATTGGTTTGGAAATAGGGTAGTTGATGAGTGGAACAGTCTACCTGGTTGGGTTATTGAGGCTAGGACTTTGGGTAGTTTCAAATTTAGGTTGGATAAATACACGAGCGAGAGGGGTTGGATTTGAGTGAGACTTGCACACCAGAGCTTATTTCTTGGGTAGCATTGAAAATTGAGTTGGGCATGAATTGTAATGGACCTGCCTAGTATGAGTCAACAGGCCTGCTGCAGTGTTCCTCCTTTCTTATGTTCTTATATAACTTTTTTCCATTTCTCCAGTGTTTATTATGACAGCTATTTTGTATATCTTTAATTATATTACCTTGATAAATATTTTTCTGAAGTATATTAATATTTAATCTAGACAAAAGTCAGTATTTACTGTATCTGTAAATAAAAGAAAGCAATTCTAAGGTTATAAATATGTACTGTAACCACTAAAAAAGTTACGTTCTTCTACAGAAATACCCCGAGCGTGCTGTATACAAAGTGTTGCACTTCATGATTCGTCGAGGAGAGCTGCAGCACCGCCTACAGCGCAAGATGTTGTACCGGATAAAGTAAATTAATGTTGTGATGAAATTTCTTTATTCTGTAATTTTTAAATGAAAAATTAACTATTTTTATGTTAAAGATTATGTTTGAGATATCAGACTTGTGTAAAGTTTAGTGCAAAATTGGAAGCTGCTGATGTTTCAGTTGATATAGTTTGTGATACTTGATATAAAAAATATATGCTGTACCAGTATCTTGCTTTTTTCTGGTTGATGATTTTTTTTTTTACTGTAAATTGTATTGATATTTATAGTTCATGCAGCACAAATGCACATGTATAAACAAAACCAAAATGTGAATTTTAGATTGTAAAGTTATTGTGATACATAAGAATAAAAATTGATGAAAAAATTTAAATATAAGAAATCTACAGTTTGGTAAAAATGTAATTACTGCTACACAAGACAATGAAAGCTGCTACCAACCTTCATAAAGAGTAAGGTTGCCAGTTTAAACCTAAAACTTGTAATTAATATTAATGTTCAAGATGTGAGTGTATCACTGCTGCTGCTACTTGAATGTAATTCATACACGTCAGGTAAGCTTTGCTTAGTAATGATGTAAAATGTATTGACTGTTAAATATTCCTAAACAGCACTGTCTGAAAAGAACTGGACACTTTCAGCACTGTCTGAAAAGAACTGGACAGTTTCAGCACTGTCTGAAAAGAGCTGGACACTTTTGGCACTGTCTGAAAAGAGCTGGACACTTTCAGCACTGTCTGAAAAGAACTGGACACTTTCAGCACTGTCTGAAAAGAACTGGACACTTTCAGCACTGTCTGAAAAAAGCTGGACACTTTCGGGACTGTCTGAAAAGAATGGACACTTTCGGCACTGTCTGAAAAGAACTGGACACTTTCAGCACTGTCTGAAAAGAACTGGACACTTTCAGCACTGTCTGAAAAGAACTGGACACTTTCAGCACTGTCTGAAAAGAGCTGGACACTTTCGGCACTGTCTGAAAAGAACTGGACACTTTCGGCACTGTCTGAAAAGAACTGGACACTTTCAGCACTGTCTGAAAAGAGCTGGACACTTTCGGCACTGTCTGAAAAGAACTGGACACTTTCGGCACTGTCTGAAAAGAGCTGGACACTTTCGGCACTGTCTGAAAAGAGCTGGACACTTTCGGCACTGTCTGAAAAGAACTGGACACTTTCGGCACTGTCTGAAAAGAGCTGGACACTTTCGGCACTGTCTGAAAAGAACTGAACACTTTCGGGACTTGCATTAAGAACATAAGAACATAAGAACGAAGGAACACTGCAGCAGGCCTACTGGCCCATGCGAGGCACGTCCAAGTCTCCTACCGGCTTAAGCCAATGCACCCAACCTAGTCAGGTCAGGTCAGGTACTTGGGAGTTTGTTCCACTCATCCACAACTCTATTACCAAACCAGTACTTTCCTATATCCTTCCTGAATCTGAATTTTTCTAACTTAAAACCATTGCCGCGAGTCCTGTCTTGGCTAGATATTTTCAGCACACTACAGTGGACCCCCGGTTAACGATTTTAATCCGTGCAAGAGGGCTCATCGTTATGCGAAATAATCGTTATGCGAATGAATTTTCCCCATAAGAAATAATGGAAATAAAATTAATCCGTGCAAGACGCCCAAAAGTATGAAAAAAAATTTTTTTTACCACATGAAATGTTAATTTTAATACACACAAACTGAAAAAGGCATGCACAATTAAATGACACTTACTTTTATTGAAGATCTGGTGAAAGATTGTTGGGATGGGAGGAGGGGGAGAGAGTGTGTTAGTGTTTAGAAGGGGAACCCCCCCATTAGGACTTGAGGTAGTAAGTCCTTTTCCTGGGTTACTTCCCTTCTCTTTTAAAAGCCAAATAGGGCCAAACTTCAGAGTCACTGGACTTCTTTCGCACAAGATATCTGTCCATAGTGGCCTGTACCTCTCGTTCCTTTATGACTTGCCCAAAGTGTTTCACAACATTGTCAGTGTAATAATCACCAGCACGGCTTGCAATAGCTGTGTGGGGTGATTTTTTACCATGAAGGGTTTTCACTCAAGCCTTGCACAGATTTCCCTTTATCTTTTGTAGGGCAAATTTTCAAAATTTTCTCTCCCCCCTCCCCTGAACCATTTCCCCCAGGTCTGG